TACTACAAATTTTGATGCCTACATTTGGGTGTTCCAAGTTGTTATTCAGTTTAATTTTGATAACTCAATATTTGATCTGCATTTTAATATAAAACCTCACCAACGAAAAATTTTAGTTCTTAACAGTTTGCCTGATTTTCGTGAAAGTAAATGACAATGTATGAAGTGCCAAAAAAACAACAACTCTTGAAACAGAAATGCAACATTTCATATTACAGTGGTGTACCAAGTCAAATAAAATATTAATATAAATGCTGGAGGTATCCCCCACACACTAAAATATTTTAAAAGTCCATCAGAACAGCAAACAATTGGAATAAATGATGCAACGGTAACAGTGGCAAAACATTGTTTTATTGGATATTTTCCTATCCAATTTTAACCATTTTTTTTAAATAAAAAATGCCTAATTTGATATTGCTTAAACCAAAATTTTACCCACCTTTACAAAACAAAATGCATTCTCCTAATATAAGAATGTGGAATATTAAGATCTAAATTCCAACATCTTTCACAATATGATTACTACACAATGTTCTCACAATTATACTTTAATATAATAAGAAGCAAATAAAAATCATATTACTATGATACAACAACTTTTGAATGTTATCACAAAAATGTTCATAAAAGTTTATTATAATCTAATTACGAGAAATACTGATGCCGTAAAAACATTTCCTTCAGAAAAAGGAAATAATACATTTCCAATAGAAAAATGTGGATATGTTCACTGATGAATAACTGTTAAAATATCTAACCTTTTTCTAAATTTCCAACAGATCAGTTTTAAAAAACCAAGCACAATTTTTTTATAAAGTTCTGTATAATATCGGCTTCTTCACAATACAAGGTTTGAGCACTAAATCATCCACCCAAGTGCTCAGGAATATGAAAAGAAAGGTTCTCAATATTATCTAAGATGACAAGACAGGCTGTAGAAAGCATACTTTATCTAGAATCACCTGTGAGAAATCTTCATCACTTCTTTTCTGGTGGTTATCGTTCTTCTGATACAGCTCATTCCTACCACCTTCTTCACTCTGTAAAGCCTTCAAAAATTCACCTTTGTTACCTCGAGTCTTCGGGTTCTTGATCAGAATTTCCATGTGTGGTGGGGGAGTTGGAGTTGATTTCTTTAAGTTGACAAATATATACAGTTACATTAAAAAAACAACAAGTACTTGAAAAAAGTCTCTGTTAACTTGGTCAGTAAAACAAATTTGTTATAGATATTTTAGTTTTAAATTTTTTAATAAATTTCATGCACTTTAGTTAAGTATATCTATACTGTGAAGGAAAAAACAGGGGATATCTGTAACATAATTTCTCTTCAATTTGGAAAGTATTAAACCAACCAAAAAGATAAGAATAAATTTAATAACTTCAAAAAAAAGCATCTTAATGCAAAAAACATGCAAGTAATCACCAAGCATTAGGCTGCTGCTGACCAATCTTATTCATGATTTGAAAATATTGCTTCACATTCACTCTTTAAGTCCATTAAACTACTAAAAAACATGAAAATTCCAATTTATGGGTTCTATGGAACAATAAACTCCTTTTGTAAGATTACATCTATACGGCACAAAATGTGTCACTTTTAACTCTAGACACTGACGAACTTACAGATCTGCTACCAGAGTTTGACAACGGTTGGGATGTACTGGTTGCACTACTTGACCTGGTGATACCTAGGCCATTGGTCATTGGTTCCTGAAGTGAATGGAAAATAATTAAATATAACTAACAATAACTGAAATGTTCAAAGCTAGTCATTCAGAAATCGTACTTTTGATGGCACCTTTTCATAACAGCCAAGCTGTTCGAGAAGTTACATAATATTTGTTCAAGTAGACAATTTATCATTGTCAAGGTTATCTATGATGAAAAGTAAATCCAATAAATTTTAGCATAAATACTGTTATGACTTGCCTTTAACTGGCTTTCTTTCAAAGAAGAAACATGTGCATTTTGAGTTCTAGAAAACATTCTTCTACCTGTAAATCAACCTGTTGTACAAACTCAACTATTCAAATCCATATCATTGGACGGGTAAACCTGTCATAAACAACTGGTCAAAACAGCTAGACAAGAACACCGTAATTCTGCCCTGGAACTTAATAAATTTTGTTTTTCTCTAATTTAGAAGCTACCCATAACCAGTGTAGTCTACTATTATCATTTGAAGCCAAGCACTACATTGACAGGATGTACTACAGCATAGGAAGCATTTTTCTATAAAAGTAAATAATTTTTTACTTCTAGACTAGGTTTTAATGCTAGAAAATACACACAAAGTGTTGCTCATATGTTACAAGGAAAGATATATGCAAAGTTGATCTTAGCCTTATTTATAGGCAGTATGTTCAAAAAAAAATTAAGCAGGCTTAATGGAATGCTTTGGCTGTAACTGTACACATTTTCCCACAATTTGATCTCATTTTCATTTGTCTGACAGTGCATTTTATTTAAGAAGCAAGCAACTGGTTGATAAAATTTAGAAAAATTATGCAAATGCTAAACATCCATGCTATGTCCTATTCCTAGCTCATGTTAGTACAAACTGCCACATAATGTATACCAACAGTAATAAACTTCAAGTCCACAGAATATATATATATATATATATATGTTAAAGGAGGTTAGATAAAGCATCTGTCCAAGTCATCTAAATATCTAGTGCTGCTTGAACTGTAGGCCTAAGCTTAATAATATATTCTCTAAAACTTTGTCATATGTTAATGCAGGATGGCATTCAGGGTCTGAATGTGGAAATTTAAATAAACTTACCAATCAATTAACTCATCCTTTATCCCACTCATCCTAATATTGATATTTTTCAGTTTATTCTTAAATTCATGTTGGGTAACCATATTGATTGGTTACATATAAATCTAAATGACAACTTGTTATCAGAAAACATGCATTATACATTGTCTATATTGTGATTCACCATGTGCTAACATACATCTAGTGGACAAACCTAGTACTTCAAATGTCTACCTAACAATACTTGTAGTCTGAAGCTAACATCATAATTAATACGGACAGTTTAACATTCTCTCTACACCAGCTTGGTCATTTTGACCAACCTTACAACCACCACATAACCATGGAACTATACATACTATAACTTTTAGTGTTGAAAGTGTATTTCCATGAAATGTGGCAAGCTTTTAATACACATTACAATTTTTTTAAATTAAGAATTTTTATTAGAGATTTGGCTGTGAATTTATGGAGTCACAATCTGACTCAGACTAATATAAAACTAATATAAGTACATAGTCTCTATCTTACACATAAAACTATGTCCTCTATTTACTAATTTATGTGTGTGTTCAAAAAAGTTGACACTCTGTCATGGTCTCTACCTCTGCCCATAAGATTTCATAGAAGTTACTATTTACAACTGCTCTAAATTTACAAAATTCCGGAGTTCTTATAAACTGCAAGAAAGAAAATAATCCTAACATCTAGATAATATACTACCAATTTTATAAGCTTCAGAAAGTTGAAAATTATAAAACATGTGGAAAGTGGAATTTTACAGTTTTTGACATCACCAACTTCAAATATTTATTGCCTTCAAGCTATCTGAGCTAAAAAAACAACAAACGTACACAAACTTTACAGATTTTGGCTTTGTTCATCCACCAACAAATTGTATCTACACAGATGGAAAATTTAAAAATTATAGCTAACATTTTTTAATTACTTTATATAAAACAAATGGTAATAAAACTTGTATGAAAAGAAAAGTTGTGACCTCAAAATTGAGGTTACAGTTTTATATTGGAACATTCTTGTGATGGGAGATATCACAAGAATGTTTCTAAACTCAATGTTATTTTGCCCCTGTAAAAACCCAATATAATGGGCTGGAAAGGGTTAGCTAGTAAATTACTAGTGAAAAAATTCAAATAAAACAACAAAAATGATGCATAACCTGTCTGAACAACCACTTAATATTACTGTCAACTGTTCAAGTAAATCCATGCAGCTAGTCCTAAGATTACCTCCAAACCCCATAGCTGGTGCCCACAACATAAACTAAATGAAGTTACTTATTCTAAACAATCCCACAATTCTTGTGCAAATCTACACATCCAGTCCTGAGAACTTTCAAAATTTGAATTATTTGCTTTGAATGATTCTTTATATTTTGACACCAACTTTCAAGTAAACAGTCCCCAAATTCTTCATCCACATTTTGAGGCAACCCTTGTGACTATTTTAAACTTTCTTTTATATTTTGTATGTGTGTGGAGGGGGTCAAGAGCATGTTTTTAAGTTAAATTTAAAGTTGTTTTGTCAAAACAAATGTTTGAAGAGGCTACAAATCAAGAAACAACAAAATAGAGACTTGTTATATAGATGTCAATAAAAACATCAACATCTATACTTTAAGTGAGGAAACACGGCTTACTTTTGAAGAGAGTCTAACACCATCTCTGTTTGGTTTTTTCACCTGTGACGTTTGCTGAAATAGAAAATATTTCATAACTTCAAGATCTAGAGTGACCCGATGACAATAAAGAGAAGTTCATTAACATTTCATACCAAATGTTACAGGAGATGTACATTAATATTTCATACCAAATGTTACAGGAGATGTACATTAGTATTTCATTTTAGTCCTCTGAAAGTACAAGTTTTACCGTGATAACTATACACCATTTTGCACACCAGTATTACTGGAATGATAGATTAGTTCAAACCGAACTTCCATGTATATCTATTTCACACTACCCTAAACTCAAGATCGCTACACATCTAAGACATAAAACTTATTCAGTTTAGTGATAAAAAATAAGAAAAGCTGATTTTTGTGCTACTAGCAACCTCGAGTTTTATGCCAACATGGTATAAACATATTTCACCATTCAACATAAGCACATACAGCTTAACCTTCATGTGCCTTGGCTATTTTAATTATAAGCAAGAAATGCTTTGTAAGAAATGGGGGATATTTTAATGAAAGTTATTTACATTAGAAAACAAAAAAGTCACAAAAGAGTTTGGTCTGAAAAATTTATTATATATTTTGGTGTTTTGTGGTTAGTTTGTATTAATGTTATTATTTTGTTAGTATAGAAAGAAAATCAATGACTCACAACTTGCTCAATTTTGGCCAGACATAACCAAAAACCTTGGTGACCTTTGAGATAAATTGGACAAACATAACAACTATCACTAAGACTTACTACTTAACAAGCTTTTAAGATAAAATATCAAACATTTCACTTTTTTGATGTGTTATTGACTATATTCTTATGAAAAAATGGAACACAATAACATACAGCCAAGCCTGATATAATAACTTTGTGAATTAAGCCTCCTTTGAGTTTGATGTACATTTACGATTCAGAGTTTAAACTTCAAGTTTAGAAACAGTTTGAGCAATGTGATCTTGAACTATTATTCACAGCTAATATTTTAACAAACTTCCGCAAAAAAACCCAATGACCTACTGACATCTGTGTGACCCAAGTTAATGGTTTTGGGTAATGTGGCTAGCTATGAAAAAATCCCAAATCAATACATATCACCCAAACAAACATGTAGTAAAAATAATGTTGGTTTATAGCGAGCTTCAGCACAATCAAGACAAAATACTTTGACATAAAAACATAATGGCATCAGACTTTAACCATTCACACAGTCACTTGAGCTTTCATAAACAAATCAGTACAAAGTTTGGTTGGTATCCTATTGATGTGGATCTAAAATTGATTTTTTATGAGTTCTAGTAAGCACAAAAACAAAACACAAAAGTCCGTCATCATTAATCACACCTTTCACAAGAAGTCTATGAAATTTGTAACAAATGTTGAAACACTGCTGAAGGAGATTAAATACACAAAGTTGCAGCAGGTTTATTGAAACAAGCATCAATTCAAGTATGTATTTTGTTTGCTAAAAATGAGGGAAAGACAATCCTAAAAGGTAGGTGAATATCAAAATCAGATAACATAAAAAATTTGGAGTTTTGGTGAAAACTTTACAATAAATAGCATAAACAACATTTATCATTCCATCCCCAAAACATCAGATAGTAGACAATTAACTTACCTTAGCTGCAGGGACAAGGGGTTTGAACAATGAACACCTTGCTTGGGTTGAATCATTAGTTTTGCTCCCTTGACTCACTACAGATCCAAGAGAATTAGGCTTAAGACTATTTGCTGTGTTCCCCGGAAGAGTGGAAACACCTTTAAAAAACAGAATATTTCAACAATAAACAAGTATTTAAACATAAGAAATATGAAAATAAACTTTATTATTGTATCAAGCTACAGAATCACATGAGTAATTAAATAAATTACAAAGAACTACTTTGACAATTTTGTTAATCAACACCTTTTCAATATTTCTAAACAACACAGAATTCTCTCTTTAAAATTCATTACTGGCCAGAGTTGTAAGCCAAAAGATTTCATAATATCAAGTTAGGACAACAGAATTCTATAAAATCAGTAAAAAAGTTTTTGTTCAAACATATTTTCAATAAATTACTTCTCTCCGCAAACATACTTTATTAATATTAACCTTTTGTAAAGAGTTGTACAATATCATCACTTTATCTTCAACTTTCTGAAATTGCAAGACAAAAACAATTAGTTTTCCATAAATCAAAAAACTTGAAAAATTATCATATTATTCTTTAAAAGTCTCCTTCTTGCACAATGTTTGTCGTACTTCACATGAGAAGACCTTTATGAATTAAAATACAATACTTTGCAGCATAGTTATCTCTTCAAAGTTGGATAAAAACTATTTTTTTGTTAATTCATGATCGGTAAACAAGTTAATGCAAAATATTCCACATTCACTAGTTGTTTAATAAAGAAAGTTCCCTACAGCCTTGTTCCTAACACCTAGAATATACTTTAAATTTTTCTGTAAATTTATTCAGTCTGGTAAGCTCTCAAAAGCACCAGAACTTCAAATAGACAAAAAATAATAAATCTTTACAGTTGTTTCAATACTTAGCTGTTAAGACTTACATGACCAAATAGATAACGGTGTACAATCTGTATAACAAAATAGAGATAACAATGTTTTATGATATTGTGAAACTTCTCTATGGCCTTGTTCTTATCACTTAGATCATACTTTGAACCTTACAGTAAAATTACACAGCTTATGAAACAGCCACCAGTACTAGGACTTCAAATAGATTTTTTTAAATACTATGAAAAATTAACTGTTAAGAATCGTTTGATAAGATAGACAATGTACTCATCTGAATGTTTGTTTTAAATACGAATTCTCTTAATCATTTGAGAGATATCTAGGCAACTAATACTGTTTTTAATCTGAGACATTTACCACTGCCTAGATAATACTGAGATATCTAAACCTCTATTTCAGGTGAAAAAGAAAGCTATTATACTATACTTTTTTGTTGTGAAATAAGGCAAATAGAATTTTTTTCACATATCTTGAATTATGCTCACAGAATGCACTTTTAACTTACTACAAAATGACAAAACTACACCATCAGTTAACAATATATCACTAAAATGCATACCAGATGGACTCGTGCTTTGTGTTTCAACTCCTAAGTCAGTTTTAATAGGCCTCTGAACCAAGTGTATCTTCTTGCTGATAATCGTTCCATGTACTTTAGCATTCCGTGGATTTTCTGTGAGAAACAAATGACACTATAGTATTGGCAACAAAGTAAACCTTGAAATTCAGATGCCTGCTCAGTGTTAAATCCATTTTTCTGATTGATGTAATAATAACAGTCCACTTCTATACTAGTGTTCTAACTGGCTCTTAAAATGTTTCATGAAGTTATGAAAATAAGGGTTCTCTCAGCCACTTTTTATCACTGGTTTTCTCTTTAGTTAGAAATAAAAAACATTAGGGAAATTACTCATTAAAATCATACATAAAAGGTTTCTTGCAAAAGTACAAATACTTTTACTTTGTTGCTATTTACTTTCAATAGCTGTTTATACAAATTTAGATGAAAAACAAAACATTTAGATAACTTACTCCAGACTCCACCATTGACTTGTGGTGGCTGGGTAGACAAAACATCGGCTGACTCTCCATGTAATGATGGCTGTAAAATATGTACCACAATTTCAGGTTTAAAATATTCAAGTGATAGCTTGTTTGGCCAGATATCAATCTGACCATAATAGATAGAAAGAAGAGGGTTAGTAGGAATACGTTTTTGTTTACATTTAACTATTATACGATTTTTGAGATAAACTACATCAAAGTATTATTAATCAAAGAATGTTACATCCAATCAGGGGCTAAACTGGGGTGAAACACAACCTCCTTTCAACACAGGTGATTAGTGGTCCTGGCCCCCTGATTGTAAGAAAAAAAGTACCAGTGGTAATCATAGAGCAACCAACAGCAAAACAGTTACAGCAACATGTTAATGCTACTTATGTGTGCAAATGTTTGAAGTCACAAATGAAAATAAAAATTCAAAAAATTAGGGGTACCTAATACTTTAACTCATTAATTCTACAACTCAAAAAATAAACAAAGAAACCATTAGGCACAAACAATTTAAATGTATAATAAGAATAGTTCAACAGCTTTATCAATAAGAGTAAATCGGACAACAAACCCCCCACTATATCCTACCACTTCAAAACAAGCAGAATTATTTGACTTTGAATACTCTGGCATAAATTCAAAGAAGAGCATTTACAAAAACCAATAGCAATTAAATAAACACACGAAAATCAACAAAGCACTAAATTAATACCTAAAAATCAGCATAAAACCCTCAATTTTTAATATGTACAGAAAGACAGATAACTATAAAATTTCTCTTTCAGTTGATTAATTTCATAACACAGCCATTAACATATTCCATACAGGTTTAGTCGATGTGACTGACCTTGTAACCACCATAAAAAAATATGAAATAAATACAATATACCCTTTATGATTTCTAGAAAGATTTCAAACTGTAACATGTAGCTACATTTGTATATTCTAAATACCCTAAAGTTCAGAAGCCTCCATCTTGTTTATACAATAAAACTGGAGACTTTTTTTTAATTTGTTTTTGAAATTAAATAATTAAAATGTAGATAAAACTTTAAATTATAACATACATTATTATGTTAATTTTCTTGGCATAAATTGATAGTACAGTTGTTTAAATGTTGAATGCAACTCAGTGACTTGTGCAGAAAGAGGTTTAAAGGGATGTCCGTAGTGAAAGGGTTAAAGGGATATTAACAGAACCCATACCTTCCAACTTCAACCCAACTCACTGCATGTGGAAACAATCAACCCCACCACATGCTAGGGTCGTTTCATTTAATAAGGAGGACAATAATACAGATCCCAGGCCATGAAGCATGATACCACGCATACACACACAGCTTCCAGGTTTGGCCCCACTGAAAATTTGAAGAAATGTAGACAGCTACATAATGTATTGTTTTGAAAATTAAGAAACTGGCATTTTAAACTCAAACATCAATAACATGTACACAGATCTGTCAGTTGCATAAATACTTGATCTCTTTAACCCTATCGCCCTGGGTACCCTTTACTGTGCATGACGCAAGGTTTTAGTGTCTTACGTTCAAAATTTTATTAAACTACTTTTTGTTTATGTTATACCAATTAGAATAGTATAAAATCTTAGCTAATAATCCATATTTTAATAGTTTACATGTATTAAGTTCTTATTCTACAAGGAAATATTTTAAAAAATCATAAACATGTCTCACACAATCGTGGTGTAACTTACTTAAAGATGTGTTACTTACAAACTCTTGATGAAAGTTATTGCCAGACACCCCTTTTCCCTTTCCATTGACTGCCTCCATGTTAGGTCCTGATGAAGAGACTAACTGCTTGCTTTTGGCCTTAACATTTCCAAACCCTTCAGCAGACTCTCCATGGTGAGAAAATCCATACTGAATTTGATAATACACAAACCGGTGTAAAGCTTTTCTTGACTTTCTAATAAGTTTAAACTTTTAAAACATATTGTTTTAACAGCTGAGATATCAGTAACATCATCTTGCAAGCTTCTAGAGATTAGAGTTAGATAATAATTTACCTGTTAAACATGTTTTCAAAGGGCTAAACCTGCTAACAGTAACAGCCAGCCAACCTCACTCTAAAGTAGAATAAAGGAATTTAAATCCATGTTAACTGATATGATTAAACCCTTACTTTACCCAAGAGTAAACTACAGTTGAGAAAAGTTTCATCACAAAATGAAGGACCCATTAACAATTACATTGCAATGACTATCATCATTCTACTTTATGGAACATTTTAAGTCAAAATTAACACTTCTTCAAATCACTTACAAGTAAACAATCTTTAAGCAACTTTTCCTTACAATGCTTTTAATTCATCAAGCATTTATGTAAAGCCAGATAAATTTTTTAACCACTGGATACAACACTTTCTTCCTCTCACCTTGGAATGATAAGATGGGTCTCTGAAATCATGCCTGCTATGAGGACGGCGAAGGACTGATGGTTGAGACTGGGCTGAATGAGATACAGAGCTGCCAGAGCCAAACTGTCTTGAGTTAAAATAGTGTTGAGTATCGTCGTCACTATCTACTGGATGGTGGCGGGGGAGAAAGTATGATTTTCTTTTTCCTGGTAAAACAAAAAAACAATAAAATGCAGTTTGTATATTCATATCTTACAAAAGCTAAGAGACACACTTATAATAAATATTTCAGACTCAACTTCCTGCAGATTTTTTAGGAAGTAAATTACAGGCCCATGTTACCCATTTCTGTACCATTAAATGGCCCATACACTTCAACTGAAAAAACCACTAACTGATTGATAACATGCTAACTAGGATTATGCATTTATGACCACATTTATCTTTCATGAATAAGATCAACATGAAAGTTGCTGAATTTGTAGTTTCTGGCCAACTTAACATGTATTACATAATACATAAAAACATTTTGCATAATTTTATTTTGTTGTCAGAATATTAAAAAAAAATTAGTATAACAAAATATTGGCTAAAGAATGTAATGTTAAGTTTTTCCTATCAAAGCCATTCTGAAATGAGATGTAAGAGTAAGGACTATAATGCATTCTTAAGAGATGTAGGGTAAGCTAATTTAAACTGTTTTTACTGAGTTATGCAACCCACAACTATAACAATACAAGCTCTATTTAACAAGACATTTTAAACATCCAATTTCGACTGTCATCAGGCTTAATATAAACTTGTATAATAAGGCTAATAACAACCACAGATGAACAGCCAAAATGTCATTCAAGCTTGTTTTCATGTCATTAATGTGGATTGTACATCTTAAAAATAATTTCTCATAGCAATGAAAAATCAGAATACGAAAATCATTGGGTATTATGTAAAAGAAGACTGTCTTATATGTATCGAGATAATAAAACAAGGGTTTTGGGATTTTAGGCAATCAGCATCAAAACACTTTCTCATGCAGGAAACAATTATTAGAATATGACATTATTTAAGTTACCATGTTTTTGATTTCATATTTTAATTCCATAAGCATAGAAACATAGGCACCTTTTATGTCCCCATAATATGTGAATGAATGTCAGTGTGGCACCTTTATAAGTTCTAGTATGCTACTTTACCAAAGCTCTTAGCCTGACCTCTGAAAAGTTTTTCGATTAGGGTTAAATTATTTACTGAAAGATACTGAAGAATATAAACAACAAAAAGTTTAGAAAATAAAGGTACTAAGTCTTTTGTTGTATACAACCACTTAACACGGAATCTGTAAAGTAGTTCAATGCCAACAAAACAGACTTCTACTACTTCCATTTCTAACGTTCTAATTCTACACAATTTTTCTACCAAAAACTTGAAGTCATGCATAATCTCAGCTCTGGTAAGGCTCTAACCTAGACAATCATGATCTACATCTTAGCAGTGAAACTTATTAAGAGGACTTCGTTACTTTCCACTTAAAAACATTGTGTTGTTTTTTACTGAAACAATAGAGAATAAAACCTTCTTGGTCTCTGCCAGTCTCGTGAAGTCTTGGCTGATCACTTTCTCTGGGTCGTCGTCCGTAAGATGCTCGATGTTCTTCTCGTCTACTGATGTGTCCTTCACGTTCACTATCACTTCCTAGTGGTCTCTGGATGGGTTAAAAGGGTGTCACATTTTATCAAACACGCTTCATCTTTGAAATGCATACATAAAATTCAGTTCCATTAATTAAGCAAATAAATAATTTAACTGTCCTTCTAAAACAAAAATTTTAGTACCTAATCACATTTATAGCTTCCAACATGAAATAAAATCATCCCATTTCCTCATAATCAGTAGACAATTTTAAAATCACTATATTTCAGGTACTTTTGGCAATATACTTTAAGTTTATCATTTATGTTTGTTGTTGTTGTTTTTCTGATATAAAAAAGAAAAATGCATGCTTCAAAAACATCAGGAGAAACAGGACAGCTCAGTTGAAAAATGCAAATAATAACTGTAAACAACAGTAGCACAGTAGTCAATAATCTCTGTGCTTACTACCACAGACAAAGAATAGTAACAGAACTATACTAATATCATTGGAGTTACAATTTATGAATAATTCTTTTGTGTAAGGTTGAAATGATAAACATGATAAAATACTGAATCTTAACTTGCAAGGTTTTATATCTCCTTTAACAAGAAATGACGATACAATGTATACAAAAGTATACTACTACTCATCTGAATGCAATTTAAAACAATTAAAAATTGTTAATTTAAAAAGGGGATTAGGGATCAGCAAAAAAAGTACAGAAACAAGTTGAATCAAAATGTAGAGATATAACTCTCTTAACACGGACACGGTCAATTTGACCGACCACATAATCTCTTTGTACTAGATTAAAGTCTTTATAGATAAAATACTTCTAACTTTCAATATAGTTTGTATATCTTTACCAAATTTGGTAGTCTTTTAGTTCATATCACAAGTCTTTAACATACAAAAAATCATATTTTTCGTGAATTATTGTTAATAAAATAAAATAAAGATTTGTCCATTAATATACTGAGTATTTGTTTTGAATAGTCCATGTGCAAAGTAATTTTCATGTTAAAATTAAAAATACTTTTCGTTATCTCAAAAATCTCAAATTTCCTCTGTGTAATCCCCAAAGCCTCATAAATGCATTTCAATCGTTTTTTTTCAGTAAAACTTTATAGTTTGTGTTATTTTCTCTACACTATTTCAAAATGGGATTGGTCAAATCGACTGACCTCAAAACCACCAAAAACATTTGAAATAAACCTAAATTATCCTTTTATTCTTTCAAGAATGACTTCATATTGTAATGTGAAACTACATTTGTTTATCCAAAGTAGCTCTATGTTCATAACAGTATACATTTATTTATAATTATATTTTATTGCCCTTTGAACAGTGTCTAACTACTATCCACACCATTCTAAGTTGTAAATCACTCGAGGAACATGCAGCTCATGCTACGCTATCAACTTACATTACCACAAGCTGCTCCTGTGAATGCCTCATGAACCATTTTAATTATATTATTACTATTATTATTATTTTACCTAATCTAGTCTTAAATAACTTTAAAAGATCTGTATTTTTAGATTTTAGTTACTTTTATAATAATAAATAAAAATAAATATGAAATAAAGTACTTACCCAATCTTCTTTTTTCTTGCTCTTGGGTTTATGACAAGAGTTAACCCTAATTTTATATACTATAGATAGTACTGCACTTAACCATTTTTATTTAATTAGATAATGCACCAAAGAATATAGACTAATAACATGCAAAAAGTAGACAAATTCACATACCTCTCAAAATTTTCCTGGCTTTCTAACTATGCGACAGGAGCCATTACAAATTTATCCATCCTAGTCATTAACTTTCTCATGGTAACGAATCTTGTACTGTGAGTGAAACTGACGATATTCTGTTCAGAATACAACCTTCTACAATACATCATTTGATTGATGAAAATCTTGACTTTCTTTTGGTTATAGGTAATATATAATAAAACATAAGAGAGAACTATTAACGAATTGTGAAAGAGAGGATGTAACAGGAGGGGTCTGATTTTTTTATTCAATAGCTCTATAAGAAAACAAAATTGAAGGATATAAAAATTATAGTTTGTTTGAGCAATAACAATTTTATAGAGAGTACTTTACATTTAATTTCATAATTTTGGGGAGGGGGTATATAAAATAGGGATGATGACATGCTAAGACAAAATGTGTCACATGGGTAACACTAGTGGAAATTCAGGATTTTTTTAAATATTGCCTTCTAGAATTAGAAACTTAAAACTTGTATACTATTAAAATATGGATTATTAGCTAAGATTTTATGCTATTCTAAATGGTATAACATAAACAAAAAGTAGTTTAATAAAATTATGAATGTGAGACTCTAAAAACCTTGTGTCATGCACAGTAAAGGGCGATAGGGTTACTGTTATGAGTGGGGTACTTCAGGGCTCAGTCTTAGGACCTTTGCTCTTTTTGATTTACATCAAAGACAAAGATAAAGCAATGGTCAATATATTACTTAAATTATATTATAATATTAAGGTCTTAGGTGTTGCTAGCTGTGAAGAGGATGCTGATTTACACAAGGATTTAGATCATTAGTGATTTGGGCTGTAGTGAGAATAGTAGGACTAGGGGACACAAGTATAAATTTTGGCAGGGTAGGAGTCATCTTCAGCTAAGGCAATTTTATTTTTCTAACAGGGTGGTTGGCCTTTGGAATGGGTTGCCCTCAGATGTTGTGGAGACAGTAAATTTAAGTGAGTTTAAAAGAAAGCTTAATAAGTATATGAACGATAAGGGTTGGCTTTAAGATTTTTTTTTAAATTTACATATTAATAGTTTTAGTTTAGAGAATAGGACAGCCTAGATGGATCAATAGGTCCCACGTTTTCCCAAAACATTATGTTATGTTATTTTAAAACCTATCCTGCGACATATTCAACACAGCATTCATTACTACTGTATAGGTTTCAGTAAAATATTTGTAGCAGTTTTTTCTATAGTGGCTTGTAAAACTATAATCAATAATAATAATGCAGGATACATCATTATAAACATGTACAGTGTTTACTCTAATAAAACAAAACGTTTCCAAACAGTATAAAACAGAGTATTTCCAACTAGTGTATCAGTGCTTAAATGACTTCAAAGAGCTTCACGAAGAACTTAGAAAATTTTAGAGTGGAAATCTCAACTTTCAAGAATCAACTTAAAAATAACCCTACAACCCTTGCAGGAGCTTGTTTAGTAGCTGTGCACAGATTTTGGTGCAGTATATCTTGCCATTTTTGCTTAACCCTATCACCACAGGTATCTTTTACTGTGCATGACACAATATTTTAGTGTCTTACATTCAAAATTTTATTATACTACTATTTGTTTATGTTATACCACTTAGTATAGCAAAAATTTTTGCTAATATTCCATATTTTAATAGTATATAAGTTTGAAATTCTTAATTCTATAAGAGAATATTTAAAAAAATCCTGAATTTTCCCTAGTGTGACACATTTTCTTTTGGTATCTTCTCTATTTTATCCACCATCACTCCAGTTACTCCAAAATTATCAGACAAACCATAATTTTTACAGCCTTCAATTGTGTTTGGTTACAGAACTATCATATAGAAAATCAGACACCTCCTCCAACACCCATCTGCCACATCCTCTCTTTCAGGATTTGTTAATAGTTTTCTTTTATGTTTATTTATCTATTACACATAACCAATAGAAAGCCTATCAAATGATGTATCTTATAACTTTTTCTGAAAAGATCATCGTCCATTTCACTACTAGTACAGGCTTTGTTCCCACAGGAAAGTTAACAACTAGCTTGGATGAAGTTGTAACGACTCTTGTCACGTGGTTAGAGAGCCAGTAAAATTTTGATTGTTAGAGAAAACTGTCTGCTTTTTGTATGTTATTATTCTACATTCTTTGATGCATTATTTGATTAAATAAAAATTATTTAATGGATCTCTTTAGGTTATTTAAGGTTAGATTAGGTAAAATAAACAATATTTCACAAGGCAAGCATGTGAGCAGTTTGAAGTAGTTTGTGGGTAAGGTAATTTGATAGCATAACGTGAGCTGCACGTTACCCAAGTGATTTACATCCTATAATGGTGCAAACAGTAGTTCAAAGGGGAATCAAAATGGCAATAAAACAATAAAATTTAATTTTGAATAGATGTATACTGTTATGAGTTTAAAGCTACTTAGAATTAACAAATGTAGTTTCATGTTACATTTTAAGTCATTCTAGAAAGAAAAATGGGTAATTTAGATTTATTTAAATTTTTTTTGGTGGTTACGAGGTAAGTCAAATTGACCAACCACGTATAGAGTTAGGTTAGAGAAAATAACAGATAAAATATAAAGTTTTACTGAAAACAAACATTTGAAATGTATTTAGGAGATTTCAGAGATTACACAAATGAAGTTTAAGATTTTTGAGATGAAGAAAAGTATTTGTAATTTTAACATGAAAATCATTTTGCACATGGACTATTCGAAACAAATATTTGATATATTCAAGGACAAATCTTTTTTTAGGTTATTAAAAATACTTAACTAAAAAAAATGTGATTTTTTGTATGTGAAAGACTTTTGTTTACTGAAAGTTTGCCAAGTTTGAAGAAGATATACACATCATATTAAAAGTTACTAGTATCAAATCTATAAAGAGTTTGAACAAGTACAAAGAGGTCATGTAGTCAGTCAAATTGACAAAGCCCATGTTGAGAGAGTTAAATGGCTTTGAAGAGAAATGTGGCCAATAGTGATGAAAAAACTGATAAAATCTCTGCTTCTCTTTCAAAAATCAACATAAAAATAGTTCTATAACCTGTGCAGGAGTTTTTTTCAGGTTTTAATAAAATATTCAGTTATTTTTTCTGTAGGCTTATGAAACAAGAATAATATTAATAATAATAATAATATGGAAAACAAATGGATGAATTTTGGATTTTGTCTAACAAATGGAAAATCAACTTTTTTGCTATTATCAAAATTTTAACAGCCTTTGCTGTTGAGATTGAAAGTCTTGAGTGATGTTTCAAGAACAAGTCTGATTTTTAAGATGGTTTTTGCCCGTATGTTCTATTAGTCTTTTTGTGAAATTCCTGGGCATTCCTTATTACAAATTATTATCATGGTTCACGATGAGCTGGATACACACATCTTAACCATAAACTCTTAATACGAGATGAAGAGGTATTCCTATACACGTGCAGATTACTCTTACTGTATCACACTAGCTACTGATAAATACACTTCACATTTAACTACACTTTAAAATAATCAAAATTACCCTACAGAAGTATGCTAAATGCCATGCACCACCAAAATTACAATGTGAAACTTCAATGTCCAAATGAACAATAAAAATTAAGCTTTTACAACACTGTCAACTGCAGTGCAAACTTTCAGAAAAATGCTATACTTTGTGTACAGTATACAAGTTGAAAGCTTTTAATTAATAAACTTTTAAATATTATAATCCTAAAAATAAATGAGTCTTAAAAACTTACAGTATTTTCAACAAGTGGTATCTTCAGCCACGCTGGCGCAAAATCATGAGTAGGAGCGTTGTTACTTGCCATCAGTTGACCTGTCCCAGGATGACCATGGTAGGCACTATAATTCAAAATTTTAATATGTAATAGGATCTATCTGAATTCACAGAAAGCATAAATATACTTCTCTGCTGAATTTTGTATGAAGCTCTTCAAGGGGTATCTGTTACGATAGACTAGTCAATACCATCCACTGCCAATTCTTGGACTATGCTATTTTTTTTTTACCAATGAATAGTGTACATGATCATCGCATTTAACTGAAAAGGCATGTTCAGTGACAGAATTCAATCAAATGACTTGCAGATTGCAAGTAACCTAACCACTAGGCCATTCCAAGTCTCAGAAGTTAGGTACTTGATTCAAAATTGGTATGCATTTTTGTGATTTATAATCAAACTCCTTGTTAAACATAAAAATTTCATGGAAAGAAAACAATAACTTAAGTCTATATGATTTTTTTTAAACTTCATAATTCTTATAGCACAGTGAATTAGACAACATGGGATAAATGTTTCCTTATATTTAGCCTAATTTTAAAATACAGATTCTAACCACCCTACCTCCTGGGTTTCCAGTAGTAAACCTATATCTGTGAATCAATACTGGAAATATTTACAAACACACGTCTGTCAACAGCTGTAATGTTTTTTAAAATTCACCAGACTTGCAAGAGATTAGGCCACAACCAACAACTGGTTAGAAATGGTTAACTTCTACATGAGGATGTGACTTGAAGTTCTTGAGCTTGAAAAGGAATGTAGGTGTGATGGATTTCTTCCACAAACAACTAGCACGATGAAACACTGGGTTTCTTGCTATCTTTTCATCTTGAAATAGTAAACATGCTTCAACAAAACTTAACTACTTTATGTTCAAGATCTGATCACTCAAAATACCTGGAAAGAAAAATTAATCACGTTATGGACATGTATTAAATCTAAAATCAGTTTCTTTGTTCATTCCAAAAATAGATAATTTCATCATTAAAAGAAAATACAATGTGGAAAAAAGTTTTTCATTTTGAGTGTCTTCTAAGAAATAGTATTAATGTTTTCAAGAAGTCACCAAAATCTGATTTACAAATAAACTGCTCATTTCAATTTCAGTCCTTCATGAAATTTATAATAATAATAATATGGGAAGGTGTGACACTTCTACCATTAATATTTATCAAAGTATTATTTTGTTGAAAATATAGTTTCTATAGCTTCGATTATTGTGAAAAAGGAATGAAACATGTAACATTTAAGATTAAAATCAGCCTCTCTAATCTAATAAATTTCAACATAAATCATATGCTAATTCTTCTAACTAGACTATGGCAAAGTACTTAACATTATCAAAATTTTTACCAAACTAAGTGGTTAAGACTGATAGCAATAGTATTATCAGTGATGCCTTAAACACTTTTTTTATAAATATCCCTAATTTAAAACTCACAATTTAGGTAAACAAATCCATACCGTCATCCAAACCTTCAACAAGAGCTTTAAACACAAGGTTACAAAAATGACAATTAAAAACATAGGATCAAGCATACTCAGACTCTGCAGTTTGTTTTTTATAATGGCTGTCTCACTACTGACAATCAATATACTGACTTTCAAAGAAAAGTCCCCTTCAACACCTCCACCAAACACAGAACCACATTTAGAGAATTATAATAATGCTATAGAAAATGACATAATACTAATACAAACCTTAAAATTTTCCAAGTAAAGTCACAATAATATGAACCAAAAAGAAAACTACTTTCAAGAACCTTAAATATAACTACAGTATTATAACAAAGCCAGCAGGCAAGGCTTGAGCTGTTGTTATTCTTAACAAACATTATTAAATCACTGAAGCTAAGCACCAGCTTGGGGACAGTCATTTCTACAAGAAACTCACATGGGAATTTACAACTCAGTTTACTAAAACCACCAGTGATCTAGTTAAAGAACTCCTACAAAACAAGAAAATTAACAAAGAACCCTTCAAGTACTCAATAATCAAGCAGGCTTGTTCAGGTAGATTTTATTTATCTCTAACCCAAAATATACAAATCTAATAATCCCGGCTGACCCATAACTTCTAACACAAAGATGGCTACAATGGATATTTACTTTCTAGCAACCTTTTGTATACAATGGATGTTTCTTCCCTTTACATAAATATTCCACAAAAGCAAAGAGTTGAAATTCTGAAATGTGCCCTAAATCTTTCCAATCCATCAGAACCTCAAAAAATAACTGACTTTGCCAGTCATATTTCTAAACAACTTCAAATTCAACAACAAATATTACCTTCAGATTAGCAGTACAGCATTGTGTACCAAAATGACTTCTAACTATGCCAATATATTTATGGACAATACTGAAAGCCAGCTCTTATAGCAAAGTCCTATGAAACCTCACATAAATGACATTTTTCAGTTGGACATCTAGTTCTGAATCACTTTTTTTCTTATGCTAACCTTTCACAAAACAATGAAGTTTACTTTTGAATACTCCACTACACAAATAACTTTCTTGACATCACTGACTCTAAGCGATGGACCTTACACAATGACTTATACAGAATGCCAACTGACAGACCACAATATCTTCACTACAAAAGCTGACACCCCATCCACATTAAACACAGTATTACCTAAGTCAAGCTCTCCAAATCTAGAAATTCTGTTCTGATAAAACAAATTAAAGACCATGGACCTAAAACAAAACACGTTACAAAGAGAATGTTATAAAGACAGAGAAATGGGCAGACAGACTGAAAACGGTAAGAACATTGAAGAAAAAATATCCTTAAACAATGTTAAAAGGACCCAAACACAATTCTTCTTATAATTACCTATCACTTTAAATAAACTCACAAATGTTTCAGATATTCTGAACAAACATATTCATCTACTACAACTGAATGATCACCTTAGACAAAAATTCTACAACTGAATAATCACTTTAGACAAACATTTCTACAACTGAATGATCACCTTAAACAAACATTTCTTGAAGTTTCCATTGCCTCCTTCCTGAAGAGCAGAAGTCTTAAAGACATCCCTTGTTCATGCAAAAGTGAATTACAACTCATCACAGAAAGGTTTTCATTCATGTAATAAAGCTCTTTGTCTCACTTTCAAGTTCATAAAAATTACCAACTTTTTTCTGACAGATACAACCAAAAAACACTAAAAATACTGAAGAAATTAGATACACAACACAAAATACCATTTACCACATACTATGTAAAAAAATGCAATCACCAGTATGTAGGACAGCCTCAAACAACTTTTACAGAGCATTTCAACAATCATAAATCTTCCAATAACATCTAAAAAGACCTCCCTGTTGCCCAACACTTCAACCAACCTGGTCATTCAATTAACGATGCATTTTACATAGGCACTGAAATCAGTTTGAAAATTAAGCTGAAAGAGAAATTAAAGAAACCTATTGGATTGCCACTTTAAATACTGTTCAACCTTTTGGAATACACCTAAACCCTGGAATCAGTGATCTTCAAACCATTAATTAGTTCTCCATCAGAAACATAATTTTTCTATCCTCAGGTATGATGCAAATCCTTTATTTTTTATCCTAATCTTTCTTAATACTTATTATTTATGATAATTTTCCATGTTTGTTTTTTATATTTTTAGGTCTATCTACTTAACCTTTCCTTTTTAATCAATCTTCATATCACATCTTTAGTTACTTTATCAATACTCAATATAGTTTCCCTAAAACAAAACCTTTCTAACCTCTTTACATTTAAGTTTCCTGTTGTATCATACAATGGGAATGAGAATACTGACAACAATTGATTGAAAACTAATCAAAACACTTCCAGGTTCACCACCTTTCATACTTTAATTAGTCATTTGCAGTTTGCCCCTGATAAAGAAAGGTCCACCTTTCAGAGTGCTTGGGTTATAAGGTTTAGTATTTTCATCTTCAATTTTTTGAATGTATGTGTTTTTCTAACATCATTAATGTTAATCTCATTTCATTGATTAGCCTAATTTAAAAAGTGTCATTTACCTGAGAAAAATCTGTAGTTTACATTATTCTTTTACAAATATACTTAGGAAAAGAACTACCAGTTTTATTCTACTACTTTCCTGATTCAGAAATGAAGCTTAGATTAAATCACTGCTAATTACGGCTGTAACAAAGGGCAGATTCTGACCTTGAAAGTTTGGAAAACATATTACTGAATGAATGTTCAAATCTTTTCTAGTAATAGTTTGTATAACTTAATGGTGTTACCATAACTGATAGTTTATATTTCAATGAAAACCTTTTCATTTTAGAGTTATATCCATACAAATGAAATAAAATGTTCACATTTAGTTTAAAAACAAGTTATATAAAACAGTAATTATAATTTTCACTTCAAAAAAATTCATGTTATTTAAGTACATGTATAGATAAATATTAGGTCGTCAAAAAATTAATGTCATATTTTGTAACACTTGTATTAACCACCCCCTAAAAACATACCTCACGTATAATAGTTAAATGAACCGCCTAAACGTCACGTTAGTGTAGCCTATATAATGTGTAAAGTTTAGTATACTCTA